TGAAGCTGGCCGGGGTTCCCCACTATACACACTATAATTTCATATATTGTGCAGGCAGACAGATACGTAGATATAATATGTACAAATGTCTAAGTATTATATTGTTGTGTCTGTCTGTGTAGTCGACGTGAGGGCTCTTAGCACTTGCGGGTGCTCTGTGTGGTCTGCTTGTTTTGCGAGTGAGTGCTGCCTGGATGTGCGTCTGTGTGTGTGTCCTGTTGTATGCCTGTTTGCGGTGGTTTAACTGAACTGAGCCGCGGGATAGAAGCGCATACATACATACATACATACATACATACCTGCCGTATATCCAGCACCTCCTTGAATGCTCTGGAGAAGTCGGGTCGGGAGAGGGACAGCAGCATGGCGGAGGAGGAGGACACCACCACGGTCGTGTGCTGGGCTGAGGCACCCTGGAAGGGGGGGGAGAGGAGGGGGGGAGAGCCGAGGGGGTGAAAGACGAATCACGAAGAGTGAAGCTGCTGCCAAGGAAAGAGTGTACAAGAAGCAAAACTGACCAAATTTCCTCCCCCCTCCGCCGCTCTGTTTGGAAAGTCGCGCGCGCGTTGCAATGTTCCGGTCAGATCCTCTGTTGATCTATGCGGCGGCTCCTTTACCTTAGGTCCTCCCTAAGGTCCTCCCCTATGTCCCCATTCCCGCTCCGCTCCGCTTGACGACCGGCCCCTCCCCTTCCTGCCGCCTCCTCCGCCGTCTGTCTGTGTGTCTGTCTGTGTGTCGTGCCCTGCTGGTCTCGGAGCCGCAGGTGGACATCCCGCCCCAGGTCAATTCGGACGGCAGCTGTGAGCCCGGGGAGGGGGTGTACCGGGGCACCCGGGTGAAGCTGGTGGTGGCTAGCGAGCTGCTACAGCCCGCCAGGAACCGAGGCTGGAAGGTGGTGGATGTTGGTCAGGTAGGGGAAGGGGGGAGGCAGGGACCCGGGCGCCGGGTTCCGTCGCATGCGTGTGTGTATACAGGGAAACACCCAGGTCCCTTTCAACGTGGCCCACGTGGTGGGGCGGGGTGTGGTGGGACCATACAGACAATAGCAGACCTCTGAGCTCGGCAGTGGAGGTCGATCCGGTGGCAGTGTGTGATGGCCAGCCGAACATAACATAGCACATCAATCAGTGAGCCTTTCTTTTCCTCGTCATTTGGCGAATAGGCACGAATGTTCGTTATTGTTTCGACTTCCAACCCATGACCTTCTGTCTGTTTGTCTGTCTGCATGTCTACTTACTTTCCCTCCCTCAGAGCGGCCCGTCGACCGTCCTGCTCGACAGCACCAGGTGCGGTGTGGTGGATGGTTATGGAGTGTCCGGGGGGGGGCTGGGACTCGCGGAACCTCCCTCAGCCTCCTTCAGAGCGGCAGATATGGGCCGTACAGTATCTATCCTCATGGGTTTCGCCGTTCATGGGGAATTACCGCTTGGACCTGGGGGCTACCACTACCCCCGGGACACACACACACACCGGTGTGGGGCCGGACGTGTGCACCGGCACACCGCACCGCGACAGGGGGAAATGGGCCCATCAATTTCCCATTAGGCCGTGTAGGGGGCCGCAGGGGGCGAGGGGGCCCCGAGACAGAGGCCGCAGCGACCCGCCTCTAACGCCCGCGCTCCTCTAACGCCCTGCTCTTCCTGTGTCCATCCAGGGAGTCCCCGGGGCAGCGGCAACTCGCCACTGGGCGCGTGTTTGCTGCGAAAGGAGGCGCAGTGCCCTCCGAGATCGCCAAAGGGGGACCTGCGACCGCAGCCTCGGCGGCGGCAGCTGCGGCAGCTGAGACCAAGGGCATCACCACGTCGCCACACCGCACCCGGAGTGGAGTCTCCGATGACTTCTCCAGTCGCCAAAGTGGCCTCACGCATTCGAGGACTCTTGATTTCGCCATAGCCGATGGGTTGGGATTCCGCAAGCAGCAGCAGCCGCAGCAGCAGCAGCAGCAGCCCGACATGTTGCTTCTGACCCGGCCATCCGATATGTTGCTGCTAGGAACTTCCACAGGGCGTTCGGACCCTGTAAGCCCCGTCCCCATCGTACAGGGCGGCCGTACACAGGCGGTGATATCTTATGCCACACTCTCCCAGCGGACACGGCGGCAGATCCTTGGTGCGGTGCGGGGGGGGTGCTGTGTGCTGTGGGGGTGTTGGAGGGGGGTGGAGGGGGTGCTGTGGGGGTGTTGGAGGGGGTTGGAGGGGGTGCTGTGGGGGTGTTGGAGGGGGTTGGAGGGGGTTAGGCGGGCGCGGGATGTAACGGGCTGGCGGCTCGGCTGCATGCTGAGTCCGTTGGGGATAGATAGCTACCTCTGTCCGTCTGTTTGTTTGTCCGTCTGTTTGTCTATCTATCTGTCTGTCTATATCGGTCTTCCGGACTTCCTGTCTACCTGTCTGTCTTTCTGTCTGTCAGTGTGTCTGTCCATCGCATCTACTGTCCTTGCTTTCTGTGTAGGTTGCCAGTCTGTCCGTCTGTCCGTCTGTCCGTCGGTCAGCCTCCTCCTCTTGGCCTTCTTCCCCTTCCCCTGCTGTCGCAGCACTGGTGTGGCGGGCGGTCCGGCTGCAGCACCCTCGCATGTGCCCCGTGCTGGGCATCGTGTGGGAGTGGCCGGGGCTGTTGGAGGGCGGCGGCAAGGTGCCCGTGCTGGTACGGCAATGGCACGAGTTTGACAGTCTGGACCGGCTGTTGGAGAACGAGACGGTGCCGCTGCCGCTGTTGACCAAGGCCAGCATCGCTCAAGGGGTGGCGGAGGGGCTGGCGTATCTGCATGCGCAGGTGAGGGAAATGGGGTGAGGGAGTGAGGGAGCGGAAAGAGGGGGACCCTCAGGGTGGGGGTCAGAGAGGAGGGTGGCCTGAGGAGGGACTGAGTTGAAATGTACTTACTGATGCACGACTACTGCGCTCGCTCCTTACCAGTACCTCCTCGTCTGTGCCGCCACGGCACTACTTGGTGCCCACCATCAGGAGCCCCCCATCGTGGCGGGGCCTTTAGAAGCGTCCCGAGTCATCATGGACAAGCACTTCAGCCCACACCTTTTCCTGAGGCTCCGGAACCTGCACCCAGACTACGGCAGCACTGTCAACACTTCCATCGGCATCGCCGCCGATGGCTCCCGCGCCGCTGGCAAGCTCCGAGCGTTGAGCTACCTCGGGAATCGACCGGCCGCGGGTGCGCTGGCTCGTACGGCAGTCGCAGTCTTGGGTTCTCCACCGGCGCTGGTGCCGAAGGCGGCGGCGGCTGCTCTACTCCCGTCGCCGCTGCCGTACGTGCCTGCAACTGCTACTGATCAGGCGCCCGTCGCCACTACGGCGGTCCTTCCCTTCGCCGTCACGGTGCACCCCCGCGACGACGAGGACGAGGAGCTCTCCCGGCGGCCGCCACCTCAAAGGCTGCAAAGTGTCAGCGTCAGCTTGCTGGCGCAGCAACCAGCGCCGCGACTCACCGGCGCAAGCGTCTTGTCTGACGTGTCGGAGGAACGAGCCTTCGCATCCACCGTGCGACCCGTGGGTCTCTTTGCGCCGCCACCTCAGTACCGGCCCAGCAAGGAACAGGACGTGTACGAATTCGGTTTGCTGCTGTGTCGTATATTCATTGTCGCGTCGCCGGAGGACTCTGGCCGCCTGCGCTTTGCCAATGTGACTTCTGCTGCAGTCGCCGCGGTTTCCGCCATCGCCGCAGACGCCGACTGCAGCGCCGCCGGCGGCACCGCCTTTTATGCTGCGGGGCCGCCGCCGCTGCAGCCGCCGGGGGGGGCCCTCCAGCCGCCGGCGGCCGCTGCCGTGATGCAGACCGTGGATCTGGAACAGCTGGAATCCGTCCTTGGGGAGCTGTACGACATTTGCCCCGAGCTGGGTGACTTGGCGCGCGCTTGTGTGCAGCCCCAATCCGGTCTGACCTTCCCGGCCGTCGCCAAGGCCCTCGAGCAGGTGGTCATTCCCGCACTCACCGGCAGCGACGGCCTCCCGCGCGGGCTGCGACGGAATCCACTGTCTGTGAAGGTGTACGGCAGCATTGGCAGCGGCGGCGGCGGTGCCGGATCCGCGCGCTGCGGCTCCGGCGGGGTGCTGCGTCCGGACCGGCAAGACCTGGAGTTGCGGTCCATGTCCAGTGTGGGGGTGGGGCGCAGTGGCAGCTCGCAGATTGTTTGCAACCGCACCGCGTCCGCGACCCGCCCCGACCATCCGCGCGGGTGGGTATAAGTGAGGCTGTTGCGGTGGGTCGGTGGGTCGGTGGTTACAGGTTGGCAAGGAAGCTTGGCGCCCATCGTCCTTGACAGCGCTAGGTGCTGCCGTACGTACACCTGTCGCGCCTTCATGTAGTATCCGTTCGCTCCCATTTCCCATCTCGCAGAATGCGCAGCCAACAGCACCACCTTCTCCACCACCACGCAGTCGCCTCCGACGACCTCCTGTTCGACATCTTCCCACCCAAGGTAGGTCGAGAGACACACACACATATATATACATGTATAGGTGCGAGCGTATTGTCGCTAAGGAGTTTAAAGATGGCTCCGGTATTGCTCCATACCCTTACCTGCCCCACTCGCAGGACTTCCCCCTGTAGAAGGGCCCCCCCCTCCTTCCCCCCCTCCTCCCCCCCGTACGGTGGCCTCATGACCAGACACGGCACATGCCAGCGGCTCCTAGCGGCCTGCCGGTTCCCCCCCGTGTCGGTCTCCTCCCCCCCCGTGTCGGTCTCCTCCCCCCCCGTGTCGGTCTCCTCCCCCCCCGTGTCGGTCTCCTCCCCCCCCCGTGTCGGTCTCCTCCCCCCCGTGTCGGTCTCCTCCCCACCCGTGTCGGTCTCCTCACCGGCTGTGTCGGTCTCCTCCCCACCCGTGTCGGTCTCCTCCCCACCCGTGTCGGTCTCCTCCCCCCCCGTGTCGGTCTCCTCCCCCCCCGTGTCGGTCTCCTCCCCAGCTGTGTGTTGCTTGCTGTGCTGCCCGTCAGTCGGCCCGTCATCACGTTCCTTCCCGCCCACGGCCCTCCACTTTCTCGGGTGGCCGCAGGTGGCCCGGGCGCTGCAGGCCGGTGAGAGCGTCCAGCCGGAGCGGTACGAGTGTGTCTCCATATTCTTTTCTGACGTGGTGAGTTACCCTGGCATGGCAGCCCGGCAGCATGGCAGCATGGCAGCCCGGCAGCATGGCAGCATGGCAGCCCGGCAGCCCGGCAGCATGGCAGCCCGGCAGCCCGGCAGCATGGCAGCCCGGCAGCATGGCAGCCCGGCAGCATGGCAGCATGGCAGCCCGGCAGCATGGCAGCCCGGCAGCCCGGCAGCATGGCAGCCCGGCAGCATGGCAGCATGGCAGCCCGGCAGCATGGCAGCCCGGCAGCATGGCAGCATGGCAGCCCGGCAGCATGGCAGCCCGGCAGCATGGCAGCCCGGCCCGAAAACGCATTCCATGTGAGGAAACCGCAGCAGCAGCAGCAGCAGCAGCAGCACAGAATCCAGAAAACAAATTTCAATATTGCAACGAGAGCTAAAGATAAAGGGTGGAACAAAACCTGCTCGGCGGGCAACCTCGTAAGGGGGCTATGCACCTGAGAGCTGAAGCCAGGACCCACTGGCCGCCAAGGACCATCGAGACACATAGAGAAACAGTAGTACGGCACAGTACGGCACGGTAGAGCAAACGTGCTACGACTGCTACTTCCAGGATATTTCGATACGAGGACCAGCCCCGGCTGCTAGTGCACATGCATGTGACGTCTCTGTTGCGCGAAAGTTAGCTGAAATCCTTGCAGGAGGCGGGCGGGCAGGAGGGAGATGCATGATGTCCCCCTTCCCCCATCCCCCAATCCTATCCTAAACACCCTCTCCCCTCTCCCCCTCCCCTCCCAGGTGGGCTACACGGACTTGTGCGGGCAGCTGCAGCCGGGCGAGGTGATGGACCTGGTGCACCGCCTCTACTCGCGATTTGATGACCTCATTCGGGAGTTGAGGCTCTTCAAGGTGCGTAGCCAGGCAGCTACTAGGCAAACAGCGGTTGGCGAAGGTTGGGTTGGGTTGGGTCCCTCCGGGAAAGACGATCTAGGACCCCTTTCCCCTTTCTTTCTCCCTTCCCTCTCACCACTGCCCACAACGCCAACAACAACTCTGTATGTAGGTGGAGACTGTGGGCGACGCCTACCTGGCCGTCGGCAACTTGCGGTGGCCGCAGCCTGACGACCACGCTCGCCTCATGGCCCAGTTTGCTTTCGCTGCCGTACGCGCCGCCAACTCGTTGCCCGTACACCCTGACCGTCCGGAGCTGGGCACCGTGCATGTGCGTGTGGGGCTGCATTGCGGGCCCGTGGTGGGTTCCGTCGTGGGAACCCTGAACCGGCGCTATTGCTTGTTCGGGGATGCGGTCAACACGGCGGCACGCATGGAGCACAACAGCGAGGCGGACCGGATCAACTGCAGCGCGGCCTTTGCGGCGCTGCTGCGGGAGCAATGGCCGGAGGGGGCCAATGCCGTCAGTCGCGGCGTGCGGCAGGTCAAGGGTAAAGGGTGAGTGACGCCAGCTGAGTAGGCTGGAACGGGAAGCTGAGTATCCATCCACCCACATAAAGCAAAAGCATGAGACCAAGCATCGCATGAGTCGATTCCTCCCCCAGACAGTGGTGTTCCCCATGTGGGGGCCTTCAGACAGACAGGCGGGCGGGCAGGCGGGCGGGCGGGCGGGCGGGGGGAGGGGATATCTACCACCCCTCAACCACCACTACCCACCTCCATCCACGACTGGACATCTCGTGGGGTGCCCAACACTGTCCATCCTGGCAGGCCTTTGGAGATATTTTGGGTGGAAGAGAGGCGGCCGGTGGAAGCAGTGTCAATGCGGGACGTCACAGAGGCCTCCACCCAAATGGCAATGGAGCGCTTGCGCCGCCAGCAGCCCGCTGTGGAGTAGTGCTGCTGCCTCAGTGCAGCCCCTCACGAACGGAACAACGGTAATACGGTACGACAGAATGCCGTACAAATAAGGCATTCCAATTACAACATCAATCGATATGTGTTCGTGATGCACCTCCGCAACTGCAGAGGCCTTCACTTCAGCAACCGCCACAGTGTTACACCGCATCATGCGCAGTCGCTTGCTAGCTGCTGACCCCTAGCTGGGGGGTACCGCCACCGGGGAAATGCCGAAGCGCGGGCAAGTCGTGTGTGCCGTGCAACCGCGCGTGGAAAGGGCTGCGAGGGTTGGGACTTAAAAGTAGCACTAGTGGCACTAGTGGCACTAGTGGCACTAGTGGCCACAATGCACTGGCCACAATATGTGTCGGGAGGTGTGTAGGCGCATTTGTACATTTCGCGTCTTCTTGTGCTGCCGTTGCCGTTGCCGTTGCCGTTGCCGTTGCCGATCGGCATCACGATGCCGATGGTGATGATTGAGCTGCTGGGCGCCATGACGTGTACGAATGTAGTAGTGCGCAGCTAGATGATGATAACTTTGCAAAGAGCGAGCAGCAGTGGCCGGGTTGCAGAACTGCTGGCAGCACTGTTACATGGGCAGCAGTCCATATGAGTCTGGGTGGCCATCCGGGGTCCCCCCTGGAGTCCCTACAAGTGCGGACCCCGCTCCTCGGCAGCAACCCATTAAGCTCTTTTGTTTATGTTTATGTGGCTGGTCCACGGTGCGGTGGTTTTCGTACGAAGGGACTTGTGTGATGATGGGGGCCTAAGTCTTGTCTTCTACAGTAGACCAGGTAGGTCATGCGTCCGAGGTTAAAGAGGAATGTGAGAAGGTGCGTGTTCTATTATAATTATAACCTGTTTATTATAACTCACTGACAGCAGCCCTCTGACAGATGGCCCCCTCTGGCGTTGAGAGCTAGCAGTGTGTGCTGCACGCGCAGAGTAAAGGTATTGATACAGCAGGAGGAGGAGCGAGGGTGCTTCATTAGAGAGTGGGGTGCTTACTAGCAGCGGCTGTTTTTCACTTTACCAGCAGGGATCACTTACTAGTGAGTGGGGTTTGAAGAGATAGTATTATCATTAATTGCATATTGTCAGTAAGCGGCCATGAGAGGCGAGGAGTGAAATGGGACCGGTCCACATGATTATTGTTAACAGCACATCCGTACATCCGTTGGGTTGCAGCACCCCTGTTTGTGGCAGAAGTCCACGGCGTGAGGTCGGCAGGTGTACCGGTACGGCATGTGAGTGTGTGACTTCTGTGCCACGCACGCACGTGACATGAATGAAGCTTGGGGTTGTGACGATTAGGGTCGCACTAGCACTAGCACATGCACGCACTGGGGCGCTAGAAGCCATAGATGCCCCCCCCCCGCCGCCCGGCAAGGGGGTCAGCAGGGGTGGGTGCTACAGCCACCATTGCGTGCTTGCTCGGATGTGCTCCCTCCTGCTCGGGTGGGTCACGTTGCCGTCAAAAGGGCCATAGGGACATACATACATACATATCCCTTCAGGCCCTTGCTTGTCCACCAGCCAGGCTAACGGCGAAACTGAGCATGCATTCGAGCACGGCGGACTGAGCAAACCCCCGATTTCTTGATTTAATTGACTCCATCAAAGCGCGAGACATACAGGATAGGTACAGGGGGTATTCTTGCAGTCAAGATGCCGTCTGAGCGAATTCGTACCGTTATTGTATTAGCGTTTGCATGGTGACACGTAGTGACTGACGTACGGCCAGCTGCCGAACCAAAGACGCCTGCCTTCTTTCCGCCTTCCTGCCTTTTTCCAATGCAATTTTGATACAACTGATGTTTCCGTCTCCGTGGGGTAGAAGCAGTAGTTGTGCATATGCTTATGCACGGTGGCGGTTGTGTGCTGTCCTTACACGATGATGATGACGATGATGATGATGATGATGATGATGATGATGATGATCATGATGATGACGCATATGCACATGCTTCTAGAGCTGCAGGGCGTGTGGGCGAAACCATGACGAATTACTGCTGGTCATAGCAATGTACAATTGTTTTATATGTCTGTACGTATGTTTGTTTGTATGTATTGCGAGTACTTAACCAGCCATCACAACATCTTCATCACAACGCCCGCTGCCTGACCGCTGCTGTCTGTGCTGGTTGACTGCCAAAGCACCCGCCACCACTGCCACTGCCGGTTTGTGTTGGGTGGATGTGGACTGGATGCACTCTGTCATGTCGAGCACCATTGTTATTGTGTCGGCTTGCAATTCCTTGCGTAAAATCGCGTGTGGCCATTGCCGTACGTACGTACGAGGATGTATAGATAAGTTTTGGTGGGAGTATGTGTACACGTTTGGCACACTCATAGTTGCAATTATACATATGGGATCGATACCCATTAGGGTCAAAAATCCTTCCGATGGTGGAAGGTAGTGCGCCCCTAGTTGATGGACGGTGGTGACCTGGGATAAAGTTAACTTGCGAGCAGACCAGGAATGGAGTTGGGCCGCTGTCGACCCCACAGATTCCATTGGATGCTGGTGGTGGGTGCGGAACCTGAGCGATCCACCGAGAAGTTGACTAGGGTGACTGGATGAGGGTGCCCCGAAATACCGGGTAAGGCAGGGTTTCGCAGGGTAGCTGCCACAGAGTGAAGATACTCCCCCCTGTCCCACACATCATATGTCCATTGGCCAGGAGTCATGAGTCCGCCATGTTTGGTTGTTCCCCATTTCAAGAATTGACATCATACTCACATCGTTGCTTGCCATCATCATGCAATCTGGTCTTGCTCGACATCACAGTAAGTCGCCATGTACACACGGTGGTGCTGCTCGACCTGGTGCCGATACTAAGATGACACCATCAGACGCCTTCACTGGCCAGGCAGTGCCCCCACCCTACTTCACCCGCCCACCCTGCTGCTGCTGCTGCTACTTAAATGGGCTGTCCTTCAGAACCTCTGTTTCTTTGTATGGACGAAAAAACCTTTATGAAATGGAGTTGGATAGGAAGAATTTCATCACTTGCGTGGAGGGCTGTAGGGTCTGGAACTGATCTGTGGAGAGTTCTCGTACCTAGTACCTAGTAGGTACTGATAATGAGGTGCATGACATGTATGTATGTATGTATGTATATATATATACCATGGACATACTTGTGGGCGTAGGTACGGCGCGGATCTTCGAATTCATATGGCGCATACATGCGGTATATGGCAGGCACATAACACGCTTATGGTTTTGGGCTGATCGGAATAATGATGTGGGTATGTGGGCGGGGTGTGCGGGGTCGGTCGCTTGTGGCATATTGGTAATACTTTGGTGATCCTAGCTAGCTAGGATCTTCACTTATAGCCTGCGCCTATAACCCCTATGTTTGTTTCCATCCTATTGGTCTAGGGTGTGTTTTACCCTATCTGCGTGATTGATATGATGTATATGTAGCCGATGAGCCATGATGAGCCATGTTTGTTTACGGTGGACCAGCCGCGAGGCAGGCTGTGATGTGACGGGTGCACAGTACCCTTCAGCATCGTTGCTCTTGATGTTGGTTGGATGCTGCTCATTGTGCAAATGGTGCAGGCTGTTGAAGGAAAATATTAACCTCACCCATGTTATGTATGGGTGATTTTAACTTTTTGCACGGGTGTTTGGAATGCCCATTCCCTAGCTGCATAGCTTTCTTGTAATGGGAGGATGACCTTTAGTAGCTGGCCGCTGGAAAGGCCAGGAAAGACCTCTCGAGATGCTGGCGGTCGCGCTTAGCGCGTATTTGTATAGCCGTATTGTGTACCAGCTACTACAGACCTCTAAACGACAATTGGTATGAGGGAAGATTTCACAACTGCTGGACGGACTACAACTGGGAACTGTAGTAGCTTGTACACAGTACGGCACATGAATCAGCTACAAATACGCGCGAAGCGCTTCACCAGCATCTAGAGAGGCCTTATCCGCGGCGGCCAGCTACTACCAGAACTCATTTTGAACGTGGCCAACACTTGCTAATGTTGAGATGTTGAAGGATCGGTGGCGGCGCAGCTGACGCTGACTGTTAGCGGCGACATGCTGTGGCGCGTGGACAGACTGACAGACAGACAGATACACAGGAATACAGACAGACAGACTGTTGTATTTTTGGGCGGGGCCCCAGCGCGAAGCGCCCAGGGGGGCCCCGTAGGATTGCCCATGTCCGTGTGTGTGTGCGTGTGTGTGTAACGGACCAAACATAATATCTCGCCCGGCTGAAACGCGTTATAGGTATAATATATCATTCTCTATCTCAAGGTATCTCGCCTGTAGCCAACAAAAATCGTATGAGCACAAACAACTTTCGCTGCGTCATTTGACCGAGGCCAAAGTCACATCAACGCCTCTCGGGCTAAATTTAATCTCAAAAGGTACCGCGTATTTCATATTTGAATTCTTAGATGACGGCGTATGATAACTCGAACTCCCAGGCATTGAGTGTGTAACGGACCAAACATAGT